TGTCCCCTGTTTTAACTGCATAGTGATCCCAGTGAGCTGGAGATGTGGACCAGCAGTCACTGTCCAACAGCACGCTCATACCATTCTACCAAGTGTAGGTAATAGGTCCACACTTGTACCCTGTGGTGGGTTCTCAGCCCATCAGGAGGTGTCAGTGGGTTTAATGGCACGTAGGAATTTATTTATAATGAATTGGTAATTGTTTTATATTTCCTTAGTAATGATAGCTCAGGGAGGGTGAAGGTCTTGATTGGGAGACATGAATTGTTACTGGATGTAGGAATGTTTCACTGCTCTTGACTTGCTCAAGCTGGGGCAGGTTTCAGGAACTTGAACTAAAAATATCTATTTAAGCCCTCCCCGCCCCCCGCCCCTCAAGTCTTCACATACATAGACAGAACTATGGTTTGGGCATGTCAGGTAAAGAAGCTTGTTTTGTAGGAAATGCTTGCATGTGGCACTGGGTTGGCGAGTCAAGCTCTCTGAGCTTCAGGCTCTCCTGTCACCCATCGTCCCGACATGCATGGTCATCTCTAGCCTGGCTCCAGTTTGGTTCTCTGCACAAAGCCCTCGGTGATTTCCTCCCCCACCCGCCAGCTTTACCCACCACAGTAAAGAATCTTTTGTTTTTGGAAATCAAAAAATTGGCCTTACAGACTACTCACAAGTACCCTCATGCCAGGCAAACTGGTCTTGTTCTTCCTGCCTCTGTGCCTTCTCAGTCTCTCCTCCTCCTCTTCCCCAAACCTGCCATTTTCATGGACCTTTCCTCTGTTCTTTTCAACCAGCTGGAGTGCTGAGTCCATACTGACTTCCTTGCTCGAGCTCTGGTTAGTGTGAACTCCTTAAAGGCAGGGACCGTCATTCTCATCTCCATCCTCTGGGACATCCACAGGCATAGACAGTCAGATGCTTATAGCTGGTGGAGAGGAGGCAGAGAGAACCAACAAGTACAGTAGAAAGGGTAGACATAGAGAAAACATTCCAGGCATTTGGAGAAAGCTGAAAAGTATCCATGCTGATTTTCATCATTTTGAAGTTTCTAACTGAATTGTTAAAATTACCTTCTCTTTGTTCTATGTCTACCGTACTGTGGGTCATTAGGTAAGGTGTAAAGACTTACGTCCGAATTATCTGAGGAGCTACAGTAAAGACATGATTTGGAAAAACTTAATACAGAGAAACTAGATATTTGTAACGATGCCACTCATTAACCATTTTATTTCTGTAGCAGGATCATTCTTTCTATGTGTGGTATTATATGTATGTGCTTCAGTAGTGGGAAAACTTGAAATTCCAAAATCCTTCCCTATTCAAGTGGCTGGTTAAGTAGGATATGCGTGGGTGTGTGTATGTGTGATGTATTTATTACATTATTTTGAAAGAGTAATAATATGGCATGTGGATATATATTAAGTACAGCCAAATTGGACATTTCCATTTGGCAAGGAAGGTAGGATTTCTGAAACTCAGGCCTTAACCAGTAGGTTGGAAGACAAGACCAATTGAAGCTTTATGAAATGTGTGTTTTTGTTGCTCCTGTTATTTCTGTCTTGGGTTTGTTGTCTCATTCTTTAATGTTTTTAAAATTTTGTGCTTAAAAGTTTATTTTGCTTAATTATGAAGTAGACGTGCATGTTTACATTTATGTAAAATATTTGCTGTGTAAAGTTTTGTTGTTGTTTATTCTCTTAAAAGATCACTATATTTAAGTAAAAATGAAGGTCAGCAATATGCTTCTTGTCCTTGTGGGTTTTATTTTCTTAATAGAAATTATGCAAAATGTACGGTTCTTTTAAGAATCCTTTGTGCTTAACCCTGATTATCTAAATTGATTCCTCAGTTCGGTGTTATGCTTTTTAGGACGTACACCTTAGTTTTAAAAGGTAAGTTCAGAACTAAAGGATGACTTTAGTAAGCCACATGGCACTTGAGGCCATTTCAGTTGGTCTGGAAAGGCAGGCTTAGTTTTGGGTCTGAGAACCATGTAAGGGTGCAACTGCAACTGAATCCCTAGGTGTATCCTAGTATTAGCTCACCAGACTCCTTCCCTGGAACTGACACTCGATGGCTGGAAGGGACCCTGCCTCCTGCTTCCATTCCACATTTGTTACCAACAGTGCCCACGTCTGTCTTGCAGTCTTGGCTTTGCTGATAGACTGCAAACTCCTTGGTGGGCCATGGCCACATTCCTTTTTAATTCTGTGGTGTCTTGCACCTAACGGGTGCTCAATAAATTTAGATTAAATATAATTACACGTCAAGAGATCTAGGCCAGGAATCCTTTGCTGCTTATTCTGCAAATGGCTCCCATTTCCTCAGGTGGAAATAGTTCGATTTGAGCCAGGTCTCAGTGGGGAAGTGGGGGTATACATTCATCACCTAAGAGTTTAATGCTCTTTTAACTGTTGTCACTATAATGACAAACCCCAAACTCCATGGCTTAAAATAATATGCATTTATTTTGCTCACGAGTCTCAATTGGCGATTTAAACTGGGTGGCTGGACAGTTTTGGTCTTGCTTGGGCGCCTTCTCATGCCTGGCAGTTGACAGGTTCAGCTGATCTAAGATGGCCTTGGCGCAACTCGGGCAGGTTGGCTCCATGTGTCTTGTCCTCTAGCATCTTAGCCTGGGCATATTGTCATGGCAAAGGCAGAGCTGCTAGAGAGGAAACAGCTGCCACTGTCACAGTTACTGACATGTCATTGGCCAAAGCAAGTGACAGGGCCAAGTTGAGAATCAAGGGGTGGGGAGCACACTCCAGTTGGAGGAGTTGCAGAGTACACTGAAGAGGTGTGGCTACAGGGGGTGTGAACATTGGGGAAATTATTGCAATCAGTCTACTACCTCCACATACCCCACGTCTCCACCATGGTTGAGAACCCTGGGCCATATCATCACTAAGGAGGCCCCTCCTAGCTCTGGCTTTTCTCACCAGATAAAAGTCCCAAATGGGAGATAAAACATTTCTATTCATGGCTCCTGCAGAGGGCGCCAAACCTAAGTCAGAGGCTTCTCCAGGCTTGGCACTTCCTTGCAATGTAGTTCTCTCCCCTTTCTAACCTAGAGCAGTACTGTGGTCATCTATGGCCTAGTAACAAACTATCCTAAAAGTGGCTTAAAACAATCATTTTATCTCATGCAATCTGTTGGTTAGTAATAAAGACAGAACTTGGCTGGGCAATTCTGCTCTGTGGCTTCAATTGAGGTCACTCAGTGGTATTCAGTTGGCAGATGGGCAGGACTGGAGAGTCCAGACTGGTTTCACTCACATGTCTGGCACATGGTGGGCATGGCTGGAAGCAGGCTCATTTGAGACCATCATCCAAAGGGGCTTGCACGTCTCTCTAGCAGGGCAGTCTCAGGATAGTCGACAGGATGCTGCCTTCCCCTAGAATGAGTGTTCTGAGAAGCTGTATGGCCTTTTATGACCTAGCTTGGGAATTCACACAGCATCATCTCTACAGTATTCTATATGAGAAAGCAGTCAAAAGACCACCTAAATTCAAGAGGAAGGGACATAGAAACCCCACCAGCCCCCTTTAATGGAAGAGTATTAAAAAGCCACCCACCCAAAGTCCTTACCTTTCCTCCCTGTGTTTTTGGCCTAGTCTTCTGCAGTTGTTCTCAGATGAGCCATATCCCTAGAGCAGTGGCTCTTAAAATGTGGTCCCTGGTCCAACAGCATCCTCTGAGACCTTGTTAGAAATGTAAATTCTCAGGCCCCACTCAGACCTGCTGAATCAGAAACTCTAGAGTAGGACCCCGTACTGTTTTAACAAGCCCTTCAAGTCATTCTGACAGACCCTAATTGAGAACTGCTGATTCAGGACAATCCCTTGGTGAACCTCAGGCGATGACCCATTACCACCATGCCTGCATTTAACTTCCCATCTAGCGGTTGGATTGAGTATAACCTGGGCAGGGTATGCAGTAGATTGTGGTCCTGTTCGTGGGTTGGAACATCAAAGACAAGAAAATTCATCATTGACTCTGAAGAAACTACAGGGGCCCAAATAACCACAAATGAAATTCACTTGAGATACTAATATTCCTGCAGCAGAATTTTAGTGTTACATGGGCCCCTTTTCATATCTATAAAGGGAGTGGGACAAGGGGGAAAGGGCAGGGAAATAGCTGATTTCTTTCTTAGGAAGGTTGTTTCTTGTAGACTTATCTGGTTAAAAGTCAAGTGTATGGGACTGAAAACAAGCAGGTGAATCCCCAGAGAGAACCCCTCTGATAAAGCACTGTGAGTTCTTTTTCTGTATTTCAGGGGGGTTGGATGAGATAGTGGGGACTCTGCAACCCATTACTTTTGTGTGATTTGCAACCCTCTCAGAATGTTACAAATGAAGGTGAGGGAGAAGAAAGACACTCCTGGAGCTTCTGAGTGGTAACTCTGGGTTGCTCAAGTGTAACAATCTCCTCAAACTAGAGGCCTGGTGCATAAATTTGTGCACGGGTAGGGTCCCTCGGCCTGGCTAATTATTGGGGCGATCTGCAGGGCAACTGGTGGGGCGATCGGGAGGCCCCTGCTGGCACCCACCTAGGCTGGCCTGGTGCCACCTGCTTGCCGGCCTAGCCCCCCACTGCCGTCGCCAGTCACCTCCCTCTGCGGGGTGCCTGGTGGGGTGATCGGAGGGGCCCCCACTGGCACCCATCTTGGCTGGCCTGGCACTGCCCGCTTGCTGGCCCCGCCCCCTGCCACCAACGCTGGGGGCAGCTCCTGCATTGAGCGTCTGCCCCCGGTGGTCAGTATGCATCATAGCAACCAGTCGTTCTGCTGGTCGGTTGATTTGTATATTAGGCTTTTATTATATATGATAATTAAACATATTAGTGCCCTCCAAGGTGTGAGACCCAGGGCAGGGATCCTCTCAGCCAGGCCCAAGGCAGTATTGGATCTCCACCATCCGAAACAAGGTCATAATACAAGGCTGGGGTGGGGCTGGGCTAGCAAGATGGCTTTGTGACCTCTGCACCCCAGTTTCCTCCCTTATCCCTGAGGGAGCGGGACTGCTTCTAAGCTCTAGAACCCTCTGCAGTCTGGAAAGAAGAGTTGAACTAAGCCCCCTCATTCCACCCGGCAATGCTGGACACTTTCCAAACTCCCAAGGAAGACAGAGCCACAGCAGGGAAAGGAACTGCTTTTCTTTCTTTTTCTTTTTGCCTTTATTTCTTGATTTCCCACCAGAGATCCCAGTATGAAGGTGGTGGCTTTACATGGGAGCAACATCACCCCAGGACATGGGGTAGAGTTTGAGGAAACCAGGCTGACTGATGTGTCCACCACAAATGACACCTCCCTTGGGCCGACCCCGTCTACTGTAGTATGATGGCCTGTTGGACCAGACGCTCCTGTCTGCTGAGTCACCAAGACTTAGCCACAGGAAATAGCTTTGTACAAAAACCTAGGATGTCCCTGCATCTGGTAACAAATGGGCAAATCCCATTTGAGGTCTGCCGTGCGGAGATGTCTTTCCAAAACAAAGCTGGGGCCCCACTCAGGAAAGCCAGTGATGAAAAGCAGCTCACAGATGTGCAGGCTGATGATCCTGCGGACACCTGTGGGGCTCGGGCACACAGACATGAGGACCAGGCTAGCACTATGACGACATGGGGGGTCACAAGAGTCAGCAGGCAGCCAGCAGTCGGAGCTCAGGACAGAAGCTGTCTTTGCCTAGAAGTGGTTGGGTCCCAGATGGGAAACCCCGGGTGGGGCTCTCCTCAGCCCTGCCTGGGCATGAACTTTGCTTGAGAATCTCCTGAGCCAGAAATGGACATGAGGGGCATTTGTGAGATGGAAGTCAAACTGCAGAAAGCCACGAGGTCAAGATGGAGTCTGGAGTGGTGAGACCATGAGAGCCGCCCTTGGGGAAACATGGAAAAGTGGAAGGCCACTACTCACTACTCTGTGCTCATAGGCACCCCAGCTGAGCCTCACCCTCTAACCAGACAGAGCATGGGTTTGGGGCTTTCTCAGTACTTCTTCATGGTTGGGTCTCTTGTTAGGGGAGCAGTGTCCACATGAGGCTGTTCTGGGCTGTGGGTAGTTGAGGAGTCCCTCAGTGGGTCTAGAGCTGGGAGCTACCCTGAGAGAAGGGGCCCCCTTTCCTGCTGTGTGGTTCACCGGCCTGGAGAGAGCTGGAGGCTGGCTTCCCTGGTGAGATGCCCAGGCTTCCAGAAGTCAGAGGGGCAGAGGCCTATATCCCAGGTGCCCCAGGTGCCCCCACCGGGATGCAAGCAAACAGCCTGCAGGTCTATGTGTGTCTAACAGTGCTAAGCCAGTCCAGGGCCTGGTTGGCCATACTCCGGAAGACAGTGGACACTGTCGGTCAGCTACCAGCCCAGTGGGAGCCTGGGCCTTCCCAGGCTGGGCATGTGGGAGGTCTTGCAATACTTTGGATTAAGACAGGATGCAGTGGTCCTGAGTTCTTCCCGTCAGACTGAGTTAAAAGCACATCTTAGCAGCAAGAGTTTGACCTTGTTTTTGTTGAATGAAGGTGGTGGAAACTGGACCAGGACGGTACGAGGTCAGTTGAATGAGGGTGGAGACGCTGCTGCAGGTACGTGCGATGCAGCCACCTCCTGGCATCCTCAGGTGAAGTAGCGGCAGGGTGTGGAGTCGATGTAGCAGTACGGGGTGCACTGCAGGTCCCCATATGACCTGAGGAGGCAGATACAGGTCAGGGTGGACACCGGGCAGTGGGCAGGAGAGGTCCTGCCAGCCCTGGGGGAAAAGCCATGTTCTAAAGGGCCACTCTGGTGGCTTTGGTCAAACCTCATCCAACAGCAGCCACTGCTGCCCAGAGTTCTATAGAGACTGTTCTCATGCTCATGTGAGGCCAGGGATGTGGGGGAATAGAGTCCAGGCCTGTGGTCTTTTCCCCTTGAGCCCAGCTGAGGGGTCTGGGAGAGAGGGTTGGTAGACTTGCCTTAACACAGCATCTCTGAGATAATCTCCCCCTCTCGAGGCCTGAAACATGCTCGGCTCTGTCGATTAGACCATCCTGTGCTGATGCAAATGTTCTATGGCTGTGCAGTCCACTACACAGCCACGGGCCCTCTGTGGCTACTGAGCGCTGGTAATAAGGTTAGTGTGACTGAAGAACTGGATTTTAAATGTTATTTCACTTTATAATTTAAATTTAGATAGCCACGTGTGGCTGCAGGCTACCACACTGGACAGCACAATGTATACCTGCATAAGCCCAAGTCCTAATCCTGAGACAGCGTGCTGTGCATTATGCCCACGCTCACAAACACCCCAGGCTTCTAGGGATTAGGAGAGAAACCCCAGCACGCCAGGCTCTACCAGTGGTTCTCAACCTGTGGGTCACGACCCCTGAAAATACATCCTGCATATCAGATATTTACATTACGATTCATAACAGTGGCAAAATTACAGTTATGAAGTAGCAACGAAAATAATTTTGTGGTTGGGGGTCACCACAACATGAGGAACTGTATTAAAGGGCCGCGGCATTAGGAAGGTGGAGAACCACTGCATGCAGTCCTCTTCTCCATGAGTGACTGTCTACACTCAGCTGTTGCCATGGAGCCATCCACCCGCTTGGCCCTTTTGCCAACTTTCTGGCAGGTGCCTGTTAGGAGCCCTCCTTACCTCAAGGGGGCGCAGCACCCACAGACATCAGATGCAGTGGAGGCCTGGCCAAGGCTAGAGTGCTTGGAACCTTGGGGTGACTATAGGTCTACAGCAGTGATGGCAAACCTATGATATGCGTGTCAGAGGTGACACGCGAACTCATTTTTTTGGTTGATTTTTCTTTGTTATATGGCATTTAAATATATAAAATAAATATCAAAAATATAAATCTTTGTTTTACTATGGTTGCAAATATCAAAAAATTTCTATATGTGACACGGCACCAGAGCTCAAAAGGTTCGCCATCACTGGTCTACAGTCTCCGCTCACCCCCACTCCAACTGCCCCCCCAGCGGCCCCCCCCCCCCCCCCCGCTCACTGTCTGATATGCTGATACAGGTTTGGGTTGGGGGTGGGCATCAAAAAGATGCCCTTAAAAAGAGGAGAGAGGGGGCAATGGAGAGAGCGGCCTGGTGTTGGCTCCCCAGCTCTGCCAAGGGCCTGGTCCACGCCTTTCAAAGGAACAGGGCTGGAAGAGACTGGGCTCCTGAGGGACGTAAGAGGGTTGACAGGCCAGGTATCCCCTGGAGCTAAGGGGGGGAGCCTCCCTGTTTTCCCTAGAGAGTTAGACAACTCTGGTTCTATGAGGACTGGGGAACGTAGCACCATATCACACCTTGAAAGGAGCTCAGGCCGCCACATTTTGGGCACGGAGTCAGTGCCTCATAGGGCCAGAGCCTTCAGTTAGCCTGGGGATGTCAACGCAGAGGTCACAACACTAGAATACTCACCCTGAGCAACACAAACCCCATTGAAGAGGCTCAGAAATAATTAAAGGGGTCCTTGAAAGCAATACTCAGTTCCTGGGGTTTTCTTGAAGGAGCCACGAGTGAGCAAAGTTAGATGCTGGTGTGGTCTCACCTGCACCCACAGGCCTGGTGGGAGCTTGTTACACAGATGCTTAGATGCCCTGATACCTCCGCCCTCCACTGGGCTCCCTCCCAGACCCGTAGCCCCACAGACTAATGTGTTCATGGCGGCCACTGGGGATGGAGTTGCTCACGTAGGGGTAACAGCTGAACTTGGAGACTGCTGACACCGGAGCCCAGATGGAGCTGGCGGCTGTGTCTGTTTCGCCCTGGCCTTGGCTGCTCTTGGAGGACACCCAGTGGCTGTGGGTCTATTGCCTGTCTCCCCCGGATGAGCAGGAATCCTGTACTGTGTTGTTACTATACCTCAGTGTCCAGAAAATACCAGGAACATAAGATGCACTCAAAGTTATTTGTGAAGGAAAGAGAGAAAGGAGGAGGGAGGGTGGAGGAGGGGGAGCGGGGTGTCAGAACAGCATGTGAGGGCATCCCTACCCAGGGAGATAGGTCTCACACGTCAGGTGGCCAAAGTCAGAGCCGTCACAGTCTTCCACGCCCTTGTGCCGGTGACCATCTCCACAGTATGCCCGGTGACAGCCTGAGAGGACACAAGCAAGTGCAGCCCTGAGAAGGGGCAGGGGCAGGACAGCCTGGGCTGGGCCCACTCACTAAAAAGGGCTTTGCTACTAGGGCTCCATCTGGTAAAAGTGAGTCCGGATTTAAATTCTTGGCTTCCCCCTTTTTCCTTTCACTCTTCATCACCCTTATCTTGCTTGTGGTTTCTTCTCTCTTTTTTGTTTGTTTTTCACCCTGATCTTTTGACAAAGAACATGAACTGGATTTGGATTTTGCCAAGAAGTAGGATTCAGAAAAAAAGCAGGTCCTGGTGGCTTCTCTGGGGGCAAGGGCCTTGACCCCAACCCCCAGTAACCTGCCTGGATAATGAAGGAGTTAACATTTGGCCTCAGAGGCAGATCATCCCCACAACAGCTCAGGTACACCCCGCAGGCTCTAAAATGATCCCAAACCACCACAGGTGTCCAGGGCTTGCCCTGACCCCCACCCTGATGGCAGGGCCCCACTCACTGATGCAGTCGTCACCCACATCGTCGTTCCCGTCGTCACACTCCTCCCCTGGCTGCAGGACCCCGTCCCCACAGGAGCCGCGGTGGTCTACAGAGTAGTCCACAGGATAGAAGGGGGTCAGCTGGCCAAAGAAACACACCAAGTTACCAAGGACAGTGCGCCAGGGAGGGTAGGTCATTGGCACTGGGGACAGAAGCTCTGGGTCCAGGGGGGCTCTGCCAAGGAGCGCCCCCCCACTCCTGGGTGGGAAAGGCACTGCTTTTTTGTCGCCCAGAGTTCTGTAGGGGCAGGAAGGCTGGGTCTGATCAACTCTGCCCTTGCAGTGCAGGGACGTGAGACTGTTGGGAACCTTGGCTCAGAAGAAAAGGTTCTATTTGGGGAGCCGGGGCATGAAGAGCTGCTCAGAGACAGAGAGGGAGGATGCGCAGCCCTTCCATGGAAACAGAACTCTGCACCAGCCTCGCTGTTGGCCTTCTCTACCTTGAAAGGTATGTGCCTTTCCTGGTGGGGGGTGTCCCGAGCGCCTGCCTTGGGTACCTGGATGGGGAGCCAGCCAAGGCTGTCCTTGAAGTACAGGGACCTCTGGTCTTTGCGGAAGGCGATGGCATGTTTGGTGTTCAGCCTCTCAAGCTCCTCCTGGTTGTTGACCACGAAAATCTGCCAGAGGACACACTGGTGAGGCTTCGAGAAAACACTTCCCGTGGGGGCAGGGGAGGGCTGGAGGAGGACACGTCGCTGTCCTTGGACTGGTTATCAGTGGGAAGGGCGTTTGCATGTTACTCTCTAGCATTCCTCCTGATTCCCATAGCTTTTCAATCCAGTTCCTAATGTCTCCATTTGAAGTAAAAATATCCAAATTTTAAAAAACATTTAAAATGTGCCCAAGACTTAAATAGGAAGGTGAGGTCATCTAAGCAAGTAATTCAACATTTACAAATGAGCCTTAACAAAATTCGCAAAGGTGTTCATTACAGTGTTATGGACGTTCGTGAAAAGCTTGGGCATACCCCATAAACATTGACAATAGGACACTGGTTAAATAAATCATAGCACAACTGCATGGTGGATGGGTGATTATACATCAATTCAAATGATGTTTATGATGAACTGGTGTCCAGCCTTTACTACAAAATAAACCAAGGGAGGGTGGGCAGTAGTGGGCTGGCATAAAGAGGAAGCAAGATTGGCCATGAGTTGATAAATATGGAATTTGGATAAAGGGCACATGGACTTTTATTATACTATTTGTTTTGCTTTTGTATGTCTTTGAAATTTTCTGTAATTTTTTGTTTAAAAAGACAAAGAAAATACATCAAAATGGACTCACAACAAAATAGTTTTCTTCTGATTTTTCCTTATGTTCCAATTTCTTATGAGTGTGTACCCGGTATAAGTTTTGCTAAACAAATATATACATACATAAAAAATAAGTTTTATTATTACAAAGGCCCGAGGACCAGATGAGAGGTCCTGCTGGGTAACACCCCAGGTTTCTCCCACAAGAACCTACCGCAGGGACTCTCGGGGAGCTGGGCCCATACACGGATTCCCCATAAGAAGGGTTATTCACATTCACGGGGGTTCCACAAAGACATCTTCCTGGAGGCCCTGGAAATCCTCTTTCGCCTTTGGGTCCCATTGTGAGTTGTCCTAGTGAGCAACAGACGACTGTGTTACTAGAGCCAAGGAAGAGAAAACTAAACAGCCCAGGCTGATGTGAGCAACCTTCACAACAGAAAGAAGGCTGAAGTCCACAGTATTTCAGGGCAGAGGTTCAAAGAGATGCTTTTGATCCAAGATGTGGAGGAGGTGATGTTCTCTGGGACAGGATTCCTTAACCATGCTGGGTGTGGTAACACCCTTCTCCACCTTTATTCTCCCTTCCCTCTCTTTATACTTTGCAGCGGTTCTCAACCTGTCGGTCGCGACCCTTTCACAGGGGTCGCCTAAGACCATCGGAAAACACATATATAATTACATATTGTTTTTGTGATTAATCACTATGCTTTAATTATGTTCAATTTGTAACAATGAAATTGGGGGTCACCACAACATGAGGAACTGTATTAAAGGGTCGCGGCCTTAGGAAGGTTGAGAACCACTGCTAGAGACTAGACAGATAGGCCTTCTACTTCCCAGACTCCCTTGCACCTGGAGGTGACCGTGTGCCACAGTGTTGGTCAATGCAAGGTCTGGTGGAAGAAGGGTGGGCATCTAGGAAAGCCTGTCCTGATAAGGGAGAATCATCGCTGGGAAGAGACATAGCTTCCCCCTTCTTCCTGCCTAGAAGACAGATAAGATGGCTGGTGCTGCAGCAGCCATACTGCTAACATGAAGTAACAAGGATGAGGAGAGAAGCCACCATAAGGGACAAGCCAGGGGCTTATGGGGTCTGGAGCCCTGATAGTATTGACCCTTAGAGGTTGAACCAAAGTGGGCCACTGTCCATCTCTTGACTTTCTTATTGTATGAAAAAAACAATCCTCTCTTCTTAGACCACTATCAACAGGGGACTCCTTGCAGATAAATTGCTCACTAATAAACTTTTATTGTTTTTTTAAAAACTCATTTTATATTGTTTTTATATATAGGGTCTTTACAAAGGAACTTCTGAGTAAGCATTTTTAAAATTTCTTCTGGAAGAAAATGGAAGTTCAAAAATGCTCAGCCTACGTACTCTCCCTGGTACTGAAAAGAGTGTCCTGAAAAGATATGATAAGGAAATTTATTCCCTGCAACATTGGAGACCTGCTAGGGCAGTAGCTCTCACCTTCATTTCTTTTTTTCTTTTTAAATATATTTTATTGATTTTTTACAGAGAGGAAGGGAGAGAGATAGAGAGTTAGAAACATCGACGAGAGAGAAACATCGATCAGCTGCCTCCTGCACATCTCCTACTGGGGATGTGCCCGAAACCCATGCACATGCCCTTGACCGGAATCGAACCTGGGACCCCTCAGTCCGCAGGCCGACGCTCTATCTACTGAGCCAAACCGGTTCCAGCTCACCTTCATTTCTAAAGGCTCTGATGCCCAGGCCACACCCCAGACCTTCAGGACTCCTGAGAAGGGGACCCAGGCAACTGTACTTTTAAAAACTCTCAGGATGATTCCACTGTGCACCACGGCGGAGAACCGCTGGTCTAGGGAACGGTCTTTCACACGCCATTCCCTGCCCTTCTCCAGGGAAGCCTTTTTGAATCTTCATATTCTTTCCTGTTAACCTTGGATACAATCTCATGGTTCTCTATGCTTTTCTTCAAGACATTTATCTCTGTTTGTGATTCTGTATATTGTGAGATTATCTGATTCCCCCCCCCCTCCCCCCATAGGATGTAAGTTCCACAAGGGCAGGGCTGATGCCCATTTCCATTCACCAGGGCTTGACACACAGTAGGGGCATGGTACATGTCTGATGACTGAGTGAATGAATAAATGAATGAATGCAGACTAACTAGAAAGAAAAGGTCTTCAGAAAAATCTAGATGTCACAATTCCAGTTGGCAGAAAAGTGCTGGAGCAAGAGCCATCCAATCAACAGGAAGAGAGGAAAAGATAGAGACTGAAAAATGAAATGAAGACCCTTCCTCCTGGGAAAATAGGGGGGGGGGGAGTCTGAATGCCAACCAGTTGTTGGTTTCAGATTATAAAACATCAGGGGAGCCAGCAATGGGGAGACAGTTTGCAGATCCCAGAAGGACAAGAAATAAAATGGTCCCAGGGAAAGGTCTGGTCAGGACCCCAGGGAAGCAGCCACAGCTGGAGGAGGAGACCTCGATGGGAAGACCCCCACACCCTGAGCCTTCACCAGCAGGCTCAGCCTGTCCAGCCCAGATGCTGCCGGTATGAGGACAAGGGAGGCTTGTCAACATCTTATACCAAGTAATGGCTGTTCGTTCTAATAAGAAATAGGAACATGATCCTGTGGGAGGAGACCCAATCTTGTGGAGCAGAGCCCAGAGAACAGAGACTCCACCAGCCCAGGAATATTCTGGTAGTTAAGCACCTGGGCAAACTAAGGGGGGAATGCTATGTAACCAGGGATGTGAATGGCCCCAACAACTCCTCAGAACCATGGCCTCAAAAGATTCCGGAGTTTGTCCCATTATCCAGCTAAGTCGTGCTGAAGCAGAGATTTGAATTCATGTTTGACAACACTATGCCATTCAAAAGACAAACATCTAGGAACACTGATGCTTGCAGGGAGATAGATGGCAATTCCCAGGTACCACACTGATTCACTTAAACCCTGTCTGGTGCAGGAAGGACTCAGCCAAATTTGTAATTTGGTTATTGCAAATTACATCCTAAAGGCATTTTGCCTTCATTCCCTCCCTACCCCACAGTGCCTCTTTTGCTCTGTAACTTGGGTAATAAAAAGCTCCTACCATCTCCACTTCCTGCAGCACCATCTCATCCCACAGCACTGGACACCAGAACCAGAGGGAGCCTTTCCCTAAGATGACAGGATGTGGCAGGGAGCCTGCTTCCTGCCAACACTGCAGTTTTCCTGCTGACTCCTCCCAGCTGTCAGAGGGCATCTGTTTCGCTGCCTGTGTCCTGCCAGGCTGCACTGAAGGGCACAGCAACCCAAATTTCCCCACTTGAGCCTCTCGGAGCTGGTCCAGGGGGCCTGGCCTGGCCTCCATCCCTGCATCCCTGCATCCAGAGGACCTGCTCTCCTTTGCCCAGGGAACTGCTCATCTCCACTGGCTGCTGCAGTGGGAACAGGTCTAAGCGGAATCTGGGAAAAGGCAGAGGAACCACAGAATAGTCCCCACATCTCCCCCAGTTCCCACTCTGCCCTACAGAGGCTGCAGGGCCGAGTGGGAAAGCCTCAGGCCCAGGAGTCATGGACATTCGGATCAGATGTGGCCACCGGTCAGCTCTGTGAACTTGGGGAAGACACTTTTCTCTCAGGCTCATAGTTATCTGTAAAGGGAGGGTTGGACTAGCCCAGGAGAATTCTGCCTGATGATATCCCCAGATGGATTTGAGGCAAGGGTTCTGGGACTCTGGGAAGTAGTATGAAGCATCTTGGGGAAGACACATTTTTTCCCCCCTGAGAGTGGGTTTGGGACTTTTATCAGATTCTCAAAGGTAGTCTGAGGAATCACTATGGGGGCCTGGTTCAACTCTTGATTACTATCCAACTGGTCCCAGGCACAGGGAAAGCCTCCAATAAACTCCTTCCTTCCCTTCTCTCCCACTCCCAAAAAACTTTTCTAAAGAGCAGGATTATTGCCCCATTTTCTTCTCTCTAAGAATTATTTCTCCTCTCACTCTGAGAAGCTCCCAGAAAGGAAGTGACTTAAAAGAAGGCACAGGAGGGGACATCAGTCCAAAGAGATGGCCAGCACCCTGCTCTGCAATACCCAGGTGGGACAGACTGAGAGCCAATGTAGCCCAGTGAGCACCTGTGGGGACCAGCCCCACCCATACCACTTGCCAGTGCCATGGGATGTGAAGCCAACTCAGCCACAGATCCTGCCTCAAGGACTTGTCACCTAGAAGAAAGGTGAAACACATCTGCAAAAAACAGTTACCAGTGGAGGGCAACAGCAGAGAGGCAATGTGTGACTGGGGAGCCAGGGGCAATAGCAGAGAGGCAATGTGTGACTGGGGAGCCAGGGGCAATAGCAGGGAGGCAATGTGTGACTGGGGAGCCAGGGACAATAGCAGGGAGGCAATGTGTGACTGGGGAGCCAGGGGCAATAGCAGGGAGGCAATGTGTGACTGGGGAACCAGGGGCAATAGCAGGGAGGCAATGTGTGACTGGGGAACCAGGGGCAATAGCAGGGAGGCAATGTGTGACTGGGGAGCCAGGGGCAATAGCAGAGAGGCATTGTGTGACTGGAGTAGCAGGGAAAGGAGACCCATCCATTAAGGACCAAGGAAGGCCTTACTGAAGAGAGGACTTTGAAGGAATGAGAGGATTTTGTTGGGTGACCCAGAAGATGACAGGAAAGTCATTTTAGGCCACAGGGACCTAGACAGACTTCAGAAATACGCTCCAGCTCTGCAGAGAGCAGGGCATCTGCTGGAAGGATCTGGAAGAGGATGGAGAGGTGGAGGGGAAGGGGACATGAGCATCCCCGGCTGAGTGAGAAGGAGCTAGGAAACCAAGGAGAGAAAACAAGGCTACAATGGCCTACTAAAGGGATGAGGTTGTAATCCACCAGAGACTGACAAGACAAAAGAGTGGGCATCTGAGTGAGCTGCTGCTGGTCTCCAGGCCCTACCCTTCTCACCCAATCCAGGCCCAAGGAGGGAAGGAATTCAATTTAAATGAGAGCTGGCCTTTACAAATGGATGCATATATTAAGGTCTGACTATGCTAAGGACCTCCTTATGCATCCGCACAACCCCCACGCCCCCTGCCCCTTCATGTTCCCGTATGGCCCCTAAATGCCCCAAGGTCCAAGAGAGTCTCTTCCAAAGGCAAAACCCAGGCTTCAGGCCGTGCTCTCAGTCCCTGGCAGCTCATAGTCATGGGGCTCGAGGGGAATGTTAGGCAGAAGAAAGATGAGTTGGAAGGACCTCCATCTGGATCATCTAGTCAACGCAGGGAAACAGATCATGGGGCATGGACACAGGGCCTAGGCTGCATCTCAAATCTAGCTCCCTTAACAAATAGAAGTAGATGTGACAAGATAACTTGTTGGTACTATTTGAAAACTTCTGCTTTCTGTTCTCAGAAGAGAAAAGCTCCTAAGAGGGGGGTAGTGTATGAAGTGTGAGGAGAGAGGGGGCTAGAGATTGGAAGAGGAGGGATCCCCATAGGCCTGGAGAGAACAGGTATCCCCTCCCCAGTATCCTGGAGGAGATAAGGTCTCAGAAGGAATGGCTGTGAGCACTCTGTGGGAAGTGAACCATAGGGACCAGGATTCCCAGCCTTGGAGATGTTCTAATGCCTAAGCATGGCATGAGATGGCAGTCACAGGCACCCACGGACCACGTGGCCTCAGACAACAGGCATTTCACAGGTAAACAGGGCAGATAAAAGGCTGGAGGGATCCCCCCGTGCTGTTTTTCTGCCATAATTTCCCAGGATCTCTACCCAATTCTTTTGTGGCAGTTGGAGAAGTGGAGTCTAAGATTGAATTTTCCTGGCATTCTGGCAGACTGGGTTTTCAGAACTAGCTTTAATTTGGTTTAAAGGATCTAACAAAATATGACATTTCTTGATCATCCCATGATGTGGTTGCAAATATATTTCCATAAGCACGGGGGGAGAGAAAGGGAGTGCACTGTGGAATTTTGTCTTCATTTTTCTTAAGGAAAAAATTGGAACAAAAATTGTTTTGATTCTTTTTGTATAACTGAGGACAAAGAATGTGCTCAATGAGTAAATAGTCTTCTTGGAAATAGAGACGCTGTGCTTGTACAATGTGCTTTTGGGCTGATGAGAACGAACTAAATCAAGGGCTTAGCTTATCATATTAAACAAAGTAAAACAAGGTAGCAGGGTACCTATGACCTTGCAAATGACTTTGATTTCTTTTTATCGTTTCTTTCTATATTCCATGCAAATCCATAAGGACTCTTTCCTAACACTGTGTAAGACGGAAAATTTTACAATGTTATCTTTACTTCCAGGTTTAAGAGAATTGCTTAGAATCATGAAATGGTTTTCTCATAAAAGGTGTTATTGATGAAATATGTGCATTATTTTTCACTTAATGCATAAATGACATCATCAATGTAATTTTTTCTCTCCTCTATTTGTTCTCCAAAATGCTAAAAACAAAGCCGGAACAATGTTTATCTTCCTTGTGTATAAGTTGAATGAGCCCAACTGTGGAGAAATTATATATATACTAGAGGCCTGGTGCACAAAATTCATGCACTCATGGGATGGGGGGGTGTCCTTCAGCCCAGCCTGTGCCCTCTTGCAGTCCAGGAGCCCTCGGGGATGCCTGACTGCCACAGAGGTGGGAGAGGCTCCCACCACTGCCCCTGCGCTTGCCAGCCGTGAACCCCGCTTCTGGCTGAGCGGCGCTCCCCCTGTGGTTGAGTGTCTGCCCCCTGGTGGTCAGTGTGCGTCATAGCAACCGGTCATTCCACCATTTGGTCGATTTGCATATTAGCCTTTTATTATATAGATTAAAGTTTCTCTAACAGTTTCTAACTCAAAACACCAGGCAGGCCTCTGCTGGTATCTCCTTGTGCTCTCTCCGGGAGTCTGGCCAGGAGTGTGCCACTGTAGGTCAAGTGAAGCAGTGTAGCTCTTACCTGTGGATGGGGGACCTGGAGGGCCTGGGGGACCCTGACGGCCAGGTTGACCAGAAGGCCCAGGCTTGCCTGGTGGACCCATAACTCCACCATCTCCCTTCTGTCCCTGAGAGAGAAAGGTGGAGCCTGTTATGAGAGCATGGCATGACCCACTTCCTTCCCATTTATTTCTAATTCAGGGGCCACCCTGTACTTTTGAGCAAGAGCCCAAGGCAGGATGCAACCTCAGACATCTTGACCACCAAGCTCCAAAATAACTCAGGGCAAGTGACATTTGAGATAGTGATGGTGGCAAGTTTGCAGACATTACTTTTCGTTCTGTCCTAGAAACATGACACATAACAGCTGGGGGAAAAAACAACAACAATCCAACGCTCTCCCCTCACTGGGCAGATGAGGAAATAGAGGCTCAGAAAGGAGCAGAAATTACTGCAAGTCACCTGGCAGCAAGGCAGCAAAGCTGGGCCTAGCAGTCAGGCTACTTGCCTGCTCGTCAGGAGCATTTCTATTTTATTACAGGAGCTGTTTCCACTCGATGGCTACCCGCTGGCCTCAGGATAAAGACCCATAACATTTATCTTAGATCATAACTATGCAATTTTTTTTGTGATCATTTCACAATGTCTCCCCATGAGACATAAGCTCCCTATGGGTGTGAAGCTGTTTTGTTCACCTCCTTTCCCCAGATCAAATAAGGGAGGAGGAAGAAGCTGAAAACACAAAGGGGAAGTCAAAGATTTGGGTTTTCACCTTGGCCATGAGACCCTGGGTAACTCATGTCATTGCTTTGTGCCTCAGTTTTCTCATCTGTAATATAGAGCCAGTAAATATATACCTGCACGGGTTTGTTGTGAGGCTAACAAAGATCTTAGAGGTGAAAAAGGAGTTTGTATTGAACCAAGGACTATGTAGATTATCATAGCTGGTTATCACAGCAACTGGTTTGGTTTCATCTTTCTCACACAGACAGGTCCTGATTTCTTAAAGAGAGACACACCTGCAGGATGTCCTCTTTGCTGCCTACTCTGGGAGGGCCAAAAGCAAAGATTTCCCCCTCAGAGCTGCCCTTAGGAATGACTCAGAAACCAAGGCCTGTGGGTTCTTCACAAGCAGTGTGCTCATTGATCACTCTTGCCCTGGGCTTAACCAGGACAGTGATTGATGCCTGACATCTTTGGCTGGGTCCCCTTTCCACATTTGTGCCTTGGCAGGCTGGCCACCTGATGAAATGTAATCCTCCCCAAGTCTGGGCAGCAGGCATGCCGGGCACTTCTTTCCAATCACAAAGGTGACATGTAACCTGCCTCCTTGTCCACATGGCCCTGGGGGCTCTCTCGGCAACGTCCCAGAAGATCTTAAACTCTTACTGTGGGATTCGAGGGTCAGCGTTTGTTTCTAATTCCATCCTGATGGAGGGAGTCTTAAGCCTTATCCCCAGCTGAAGCATGCCATGAGGTAACCAAGATGGGTCCCAGAACGGCAAAGGAAGTCACACCGTCTTAATATAGCCGAAGTTAAGGCTTGTTGTTCTAGTAGCCAGTCAGCTGGCTCTGAGAACAGGAAGTGCCACAGCTGAAGAAGCTGGAAACGCTCCTTGACTCTGACACCAGCAGTAATGGAATATTCTGCTCATCGGTCGTCCTCTCAGAACCAGCCATGTGTCTATGAGCAGGACTCATGAGCCATGCTTTCCAGGAAAAGCATTCATTCCTTCATTGTCACAAAGTTTGGTGATGCTTCTCCAGGGAGGAAGCCTGTCTCCTTAATTGCAGATTTGCATAATGTAATCAGGGCTGCTTTTCTGGGCCTGCCTGAAGGCAAGTCCTGAAGCATGGAGGTGATGAGAGAAGATGTGATGTAGGGAAAGCTGGTCTCAACTCTCCACGCTCTAACTCTGGCATGGAAGCTGGCTTAGCTTAGGGGTCTGGGCAGGTCATTCGACTTCTCCGGCCCTCAGTTTCCTGTGACTATGCTAAGGGATTGAATTGGGTGATCACTACAATCCCCTGGTTCTGAAATTCTAATTTCCTAAAGTCTGTTCTGGATTTCTGATTCTAGGGTTTGGATTGACGTACAATAACCTCCAGAAACGCAGCACGACTGGCCCAATGGACACTTGGTAGATAAGACTCTCTGGTAGCAAAATTAATTCTGATAAACAGGAAGAACCATGGCACGCCCCCAAAGCTAACAACTCAAGTGTCTGCTGACTAGACAGGCACGGAGGGTCTGGAGCACACTCCTCGTGGAAAGGAAGAGCTTATTCCCCTAACTTCTTTTTTTTTTTTTTTTTTGATTTTTAGACGATGTTTATTAAAGCTGGGGACAGTGAAACAAGGAAGGGGCTAGGATAGAATAAGCAACAGGAGAAGGACTAGGTGGGGAAGTGAGCCTAGGCTGGCTTGAGAAAGGGGGGTCTTGAGGGCAGGGTCAGGGGTTGTTGGGGTCCAGCCCCAGCAGGTCCAGGGGTCCCCAAAGGTGTGGACGGAGTCGGCGAAGAAGGAATGACACGGAGACAGCGTTCAGTTGATCAGCAGCCTAGCCAGGATCTCTAGCCAGGATCTCCAGCCAAGTTCTGTCCCCCCTAACTTCTCTGAGGTTCTAGACATGGCTCTGGGGTAGTTGTAAGATTATGACAACTAATCATTTTCAACTTCTTAGCTTCAGCCCTCACCAGGAAAAGATAAACATTGCCCAGGTAAAGAACTAGATGACAGAAGGCAAAAGTCTGCTTGAACCCGAGTGTAGAAAATTATGAATGGAAATCAGCAGTAAGGGAGAAAATGATCTTTAAAACAAGAAAGGAAGGAAGGAACATGTCTCCTTTTGTTCTTTTTCTGAGCCTAGTTTTCAGGAAATTGGAATCTGTGACAGCATTGTGAAGGCACAGCCATGCTACCCATTGTAAAACTTTGAAAACTTAACTGGAATATTGTGACTTCCAAAATTATCATGACATCTGAATTATTTGGGTTGGAGGTTATATCGTTGCTAAGTTCACTTGGAAAAGATCAGAATTGGCTTCATATGCTACCATGTTCTGAACCCTGGCTACATATTAGAATCATTGGGGAGCTTTAATCAAACACCAACCCATGCTGAAGCCTCACACCAGATCACTTATATCAGAGTCTTTGGGAAGTAAGGCCTAGGTAAACTTGGAACTACAACTATGGCCCAAAGATGTTCACTTCTCAACATCATATATAATTTGGTTAGGCCTCTCTTGTCCAAGAAATCTTACTCATTTACTAAAATCTGGTGCAGGCATTTAAAAAAGATGTTAAAATGCTTAATGAATATCTGTAGCAATGAGTAAAAATGCATATATTATGATTTTAAGTTAAAAATTTAGGATACAAGAACTATATATTGGATAGAAAAGAAACAAATGACTAGAAAGTTCAGAAAAGAAATAATACTGGAAAGAAAATATACTAAAGCGGTTACATGGTTATACCTGGGTGTTAGATCGTTTTTAAAAAATATGTTTGTATTGACTTTTCCAGAGAGAGGAAGGGAGAGGGAGAAAAAAGAGATAGAAACATTGATGTGATGTGAGAGCAGAACACTGATCAGCTGCCTCTTGCATGCCCCCTACTGGGGACCAAGCCTACAATCCGAGCATGTGCCCTGACTGGGAATCGAACCAGCAACCTCTTGGTTCATGGGTGGAATTTTCCAAGTTTCCTATGATGATCATATATTTCATTTAAATGGGAAAGGAGGCAAAAACAAGCAAACTACCACCTAAAAAGTGAAGGGGCACATCTCTCAAGAATGTCTGTCTGTTAGAGCTAAGATAAGAGGTTTCTCTAAGGCACTCAGGACAGACAGCTCTACAGCCAGCCAAGTCAACTGTACCTTTCTCTTGCTTTGCTCTCCCATTTCACATGGTCTGACACAAGAGCCTGCTGACTAGAGGGAGTTCAGAATGAAAAATTTCCCTAAACCCTTAACAGTGCCAATAAAGAAGGTCACTTACAAACTGGGATCCTGAGTGGGAGTAAGGGGAGACTATCCTACTGTTGAGACCCAGAAGACCTTCAAGAGCAGGGAAATATCTGGGCTGTTCTCCAAGACTCCATTTGTGTCTGGGGGATTGAGGTAAGAAGCAGGTTTTCTGGGTAAAGGACCAGATCTGGTTTCCACTCCCAGTTGCTTTGGTTAAGGTAGGCCTGTTCTTATGAACCAAAGATCCACTCTTGCTCTAGCCTTGGAAACAGTGGGAACACAGCATCCTATCCCATCCACTCAAACTATGGCTACCCTAGAGAAGCCAGGAACTCCTGAAAGTGGTGCAGCTTCTGCCCACGAGCCCAGAGGAAGCTGAAGGCTGGGTCTATGGGAAATCTCTGATTGACCACACTGGCACGCCTCTCCACACCACCCCGCCCCCCTGCTCCAGGTAAGGAGGTATAACTGCAGGGGCCTGGTAAGCCCTAGATCAGCCGTGGGCAAACTACGGCCCGCAGGCCGGATCTGGCCCGTTTGAAATGAATAAAACTAAAAAAAAAAAAAAGACCGTACCCTTTTATGTAATGATGTTTACTTCGAATTTATATTAGTTCACACAAACACTCCATCCATGCTTTTGTTCCAGCCCTCCGGTCCAGTTTAAGAACCCATTGTGGCCCTCGAGTCAAAAAGTTTGCCCACCCCTGCCCTAGATCCTTACCTGCTTGCCTCGTTTTCCTGGTCTTCCTGTGGGTCCCCTGTGTCCTGCTATCCCAGGCTCACCCTTTGGACCCATTTCACCCTGGAAAGAAAAAAGAGAAGCAAGAGAGGAATTAGGGCATGTGGAGCAGGCCCTTCCCTGCAGGTCAACTCAATCCTTGGCCACAAAGGCCGTCTACTAGATCATCCCAGATCTTTTCCAAGTGGGCTGCTCTGGGAGACTGGAAGAGTGATGAGGTCATGTGAAAGGTAGGTAGGCTTTTCATGGACCAGGAAGGAAAGGAGGTTATCCTGGGCAGGTGATTTATTATTTGAGAGAGACAGCTTCCAGGTAGCACACAGTTTAGTGTTCCAAATCACCATCCAGAATGGCCAACAATAGAGTTGTATTTCAGTCACAAGTGTGCCTGTGACGCCATAAGCTATTGGGGGAAAACACTTGCTCTTTTAGTTGAATTTTATGTTTTGTTTTGTTTGGTTTTTAGCACAAATTCAAATCTATGGATTTTTTAATGATTAAATACAATTTTGACAGCTATCATCTCTGGAAAGTTTCTGTTCATGTAATGACCTTTACTAGGGTTGTACATTCCTCACTTTTCAGTAAAAATTGGTTTGAGTTCCAGTTCACTTCCATTTGATTTAGACGAAACTGTTTGTGGGGAGACTTATGTTCAAATACTCAATACATTTATTGTAAAGGCATGGAAAGCAATATAATATTGCAATATAAACAATATTCCTAATTGAAAAGCCCTATTTTGAAGCATCAGAACAAAAGGCATCAATTGCCCGAATTCTATAGTTTAAGGCTAACCTTTCGTTCTCCATTTTAGTTTCTCTCCTTCCTTCTTCCCCATGGTCTTCTAGGATCCCAGCCCCTCTTGCTGTTTCTTTATCAGTGGTTCTCAACCTTCCTAATGCCGCGGCCCTTTAATACAGTTCCTCATGTTGTGGTAACCCCCAATTTTATTGTTACAAATTGAACATAATTAAAGCATAGTAATTAATCACAAAAACAATATGTAATTATATATGTGTTTTCCAACGGTTTTAGGCGACCCCTGTGAAAGGGTTGTTCGACCCCCAAAGGGGTCGCGACCCCAGGTTGAGAACCGCTGCTTTAGATCATGAACCACAGGGCATTGTTCCCATAATTATTACAGCAATCCCTCTAACAGTTCAGAATGCACCACCAACAGGCTACATTTAGCAATTGCAACCACAAGAGTTTCTGCTTGTCAGCAGCCAGTATCCATGAACAGCTGCCCAGACACTCAGAGGAGACAGTGAACACCCAGATGGCTGTTCTCATGGAAGTCAGGCAAGGTAGAACACCTGGAAAATTCCAGGGAACACCAATATAAAGCAAGGATCAAGCAGAAATCTCTGAAATCATCTGCCGGCTCAGCCAATGTAATGGATTTGTCTTGACCCAAGCTACCAACATCCTGCCTCGCCAAGAATTGTCCTTACACCTATGATTTCTTTCCAACCCACCATGTGCTCTGGGAGGCTGGGCAGTGCGAGTGTGAGAGGAGAGATGGATTCTATGTGGCTGTGAAGATGTTTGCACAATTTTCCATGGCTGTTTGCAGGGACCGAGGAGTGCCTTGCTTGGCTAGGAGAAAACAGCAGTATGAACAGCATAACGTTTTTTTTTTATTTTTTAATTATTGATTTCAGAAAGGAAGGGAGAGAGAGAGAGAAACATCAATGATGAGAGAGAATCATCGAACAGCCACCTTCTGCACGTTCCCCACTGAGGATTAAGCCCACAACCCAGGCATGTACCCTTGACCGGAATCAAACCCAGAACCCTTCAGTCCACTGAGCCAAACCAGCCAGGGCAGCATAACTTTTTCATCAGAAGGAAGTGTGGCCCTTCTCTTCATCAACTGGAAGCAGCCAGTACTTACTTAATCTAATTTCTCTCCTCTGACCTAATTATGGTTATCATATCTGCTCTGTCTTAAAGCAGCCTGCCCTGAAAGGGGAAAAGAACTCCTGATGGCAAGTCTAGTAAGTGGAGCAGAAACCAGAGAAACTGTCATCTTTAATTTTACAGTAATAGATTATTCTTTGATGCTCACTGTTGTACTGAATGAAAGCCTAGCCTAAATATTTTCAACTAAAATCTTTTTTTTTTTTTGCCCTAGCTAGTTTGGCTCAGTGGATAGAGCATCGGCCTGTGGACTGAAGGGTCCCGGGTTCGATTCTGGTCAAGGGCACATGCCTGGGTTGCAGATCCCTGGTGCGGGGCGTGCAGGAAGCAGCCGATAACGATTTTCTCTCATCATTGATATTTCTATCTCTTTCTCCCTCTCCCATCCTCTCTGAAATCAATAAAAAACTTTTTTTAAATCATTTTTTCTCTTTTAATGTTTCCTTTAATTTGCACATTTACTTACTCTATTTTTAACTCAATACTTCATCTAGGGTAGCAGAAGACATTTTTTGACAGCTTAAGGCAGTGATAAGTGATAATAAATTAATGTCAGATGACTGAAATTATTTAAATATGCTCTACTGACTGGAGAAAATCGGATAAGAAATTGTTTATTCAAGTTTGGAAAATAAAACTTTAAGGTGAACTTGAGAAAAAGTTTAGAATTTTAAGAAAGCATCTCATTGGCATGTTTGAAGAACACTGTACTCTGAGGCCAAGGTTAAAATAACAATTTCCCACATCAGTGCCTCACGGCATGAGGACCCACCGCTAATGGGGTTAGATTAGGGGGTTCTTGGTGGCCATCTGTGCATTCTCTCTTCATTCTCTGACACCTCCCCTCCCCACCCTCCCCACTCTTCTTCACTAGATCTTAACCCTAAGGAAAAGCTTTTTTAAATTCTGTCAATTGTCACCTTCCTAGTTTTTGTCATATCTTCACATCACTTTATTCTTATTTACTCAATATTTTCTCTTTAAGTCAACTGAATTAACTCCTTTTTTATTAAGCCTTGTCCCAGACAAGATATTCATGAAATCCCACTAAGTATTTAACTATTTAAATAAAAAGTTTAACTAGCAAATAAAAATTGCTTGCTATCACCAACTGAAATAACTCTGCCTACCTGTAGCAGGACATGAGCCTCCCTGAAGAAGTGCTGACTGGGTATAGTAGGTAGTTGCATTAGCCAGAGAAGTCTGCACCTCCCCCTGGGACCTTTGACCACTACAGTTCAGACCTGAGCCCCTTGTCACAAAGCTCCCTGCCTTTGAACATCACCACAGCCCTTTAAGGGGCAGCAAGTACAAAGTAGGGCCTCTGTCCATCAGGGAGGTGTCCTTGCCCTCCCATGACCTGGAGGAGGTCTCAGACCTCTCACCTATATGTTTAGCAACTTGCTCCCCTTTCAAACCAGAATCTTCCATAGCGAGACCTGCTTTCCCTGCCTCATGAACAGAGAGGCAGGCCTCTTTTTGTTGTATTTGGATGGTCTATTTCAGCCGTGGGCAAACTACGGCCCGCAGGCCGGATCCGGTTTGAAATGAATAAAACTAAAAAAAAAAAAAGACCGTACCCTTTTATGTAATGATGTTTACTTTGAATTTATATTAGTTCACACAAACACTCCATCCATGCTTTTGTTCCGGCCCTCCGGTCCAGTTTAAGAACCCATTGTGGCCCTCGAGTCAAAAAGTTTGCCCACCCCTGGTCTATTTTCTTACTTCTATTTTTTACTACTTGTAGGTACTTACTTTCTGCCCCAACATTCCAGGAAATCCCGGGAAACCCTGTGAAGAGAACAACAAATAATAGTGATTGCCTCTGAATAACTCTTGAGAGGGCTGTGTCAGCCATTTTCAAGATAGAGCCTTGTCAGCCAGCCAGCCAGCCAGTCAGCTAATCAGACAGATACACAGACAGCCAGTCAGCCAGTCATCTAGTCAGACAGATAGACAGACAGACAGTCAGCCAGCCAGTCAGTCAGACAGATAGCCAGCCTGTCAGTCAGCCAGCCAATCAGTCATCTAGTCAGACAGATACACAGACAGCCAGTCATCCAGTCATCTAGTCAGACAGATAGATAGTCAGCCAGCCAGTCAGTCAGACAGATAGCCAGCCTGTCAGTCAGCCAGCCAATCAGTCAGTTAATCAGACAGATACACAGCCAGCCAGTCATCCAGTCATCTAGTCAGACAGATAGACAGACAGCCAGTCAGTCATTCATATCCAGCCAGCCAGCCAGTCAGTCAGCCAGTTAGACAGATAGCCAGCCAGCCAGCCAGCCAGCAAGTCAGTCAGACAGCCAGTCAGTCAGACAGATAGTCAGCCAGTCAGATAGTTAGACAGATAGCCAGCCTGTCAGTCAGCCAGTTAGACAGATAGCCAGCCTGTCAGTCAGTCACAGCCAGTCAGTCAGACAGATAGTCAGTCGGTCCGCTAGTCAGACAGATAGACAAACAGTCAAGCAGTTAGCCAGTCAGACAGACAGACAGACAGTTCGTCAGTCAGTTAGCCAGCCAGTCAGTCAGTCCGCCCATAAGATGGGGGTAGGCAGGGTTCACCACTTCCATTGTATTTGATCATTTCTATGCAACAGCCATTACCTTTTCTCCTTTGGGACCCAAGTCACCCCTTTCACCTCTGGATCCCTAGGAGAAAACCACAGGAGAGAGTACATGAATTAATACCATGGGAGAAAAAATGGAGCATTTTAAACTAATAACTCCCTATCCTATGCCAATACCCTCATTTCACAGGCAAAGACACAGGCTCAGAGATTACATGACCTTCCCAGGGAAGAAATGCTTTGGGATTTACCTTCTATTTGGACCCCAAATACCTCCTACATTAATAAGTTCAAGGCACAGAAAATTCTGGGTCCCAGAACCTCTCCCTTTCTATAGGAAATCTGTCCCCAGGTTCTGGCTGGGTTTTCTGTTTTTTGTTTTTGACAGACGAGAAGGTTGTGTGGTGATAGCTTGGTCTAAAGACACACATCTGCCATCTTGCTCCAGCACACCACGCAAGCTGTGTTCATTCTCCATCTGGCATGGCTTCAGTGCTCATCTGCTCCATATGAGGGCCTTGACCTCCACTGGGAGCTCCTCCCTAAGCTGCCTGCCCTACCTCAGGGGCCCCTCACTTCTCTCAGCCCACTGATAAAAGATGAGGAATATTGAGGCAAGGTCACTGCAGTCACTGACTGAAGAGAGACGTGGGCCCATCCTCACTGGCCCCAGAGCCACTAGCCCAGACCAAGCTCTGGGAAGCTGGAGAGAGAAGCACTAACCTTTTCCCCTCTGGATCCGGGGTAGCCCTAAAAGAAAGCAGAAGGTATATTTACAATCAGCCTTGTCAGACCACTGGGTTTGGTGTGAGAGTGGACGGAATCCCTGAATGTGGTGGTGAGATGTGCCTCATTGCACTGAAAGTTTTAGTGGGGGCTGCAGCATTCAATACCAAGAAGTCCCTTGGGATTGTGTCTACATCAGGCCTAAAAAAAAATGCTGCTTTTCTTACCACCACCCCCAAAGGCCTGAACAAAGATTTCCATCTGTTTTGTTGTCCCGAGGCTTGTCCCTTGCTGCTCAGAAGAACAGCAGGAATGGCATCTCTATGTCCCTGCATCCCAGCCCTGGTGTCCCCCAAAGGCTGGTAAAGACATTGGGCTGTCCAACATCTGTGACATCAGCTGGCCCAGGATGGCAGACACACCCAGATCCTATCTTTGTAGATAACAGCTGCTCCAGAGCCTTAGTGAGAAGATCTGAGAACATCCATCTGGACCAACACACTGACCTTGGAGCCCATTGGTCCTCTTGACCCTGGTAAGCCCATCAGACCCAGGTCACCTTTTTCACCCTGTGGGAATCAGAAGGAGGGGAAAAAAAGACCTCTAGTGACATTTCCTAGAAAAACTGAACTAGGAAGTTATGGGCAAGATCAGAAAGGAACTGGGACATTGGGGCTAGCTTGTGAATCTGAGGACCCCAAATACTCCTTTGCTTACTCCCAGGGGCCCAATTCTCCACACTTCATTCTGGTATTTGAGGTTAATATGAAATGAAATTCCCAAGGCAGAGCAGATCTCCAAAACTAAATTCAAATTCTCACTAAGATGCTTTAATGGAATAATGCTTGATCTTTTCTTAGAGAAGGCTGTAGGAGGGTGGGGGAGGGGGAGAGCATGGGGCATGGGGCCCCAGAGGACAAGGTATCAGCACCAAAAAAACTTCACCTGCTTTGCTCTTTGCATAGGGTGGATCTTTCAGACATCTCCATATACTCTCACCCTAGGGTTGCAACCAAGTAGAGTGAACATCATCCTCTAGGTGTGTATGATGAAGGCAGGGAGCTAAGACTCATGGGTGAGCTCCGTTGCCCCTCAGAATCATTTGCAGTTGGAACTTTCAGCACCCTCTGTGCTAAAAAACTATACCAGTGCTAACCAGTAGAAATATAAGGTGAGCCACGTACTTCATTTAAAAATGTTTTAGAAGTCACATTAAAACTATAACTAAATAGGTGAAATTAACTTTAACAATATATTTTATTTACTTTAATTATCATTTCAACATGTAGTCAACATAAAAATTACTAATGAGATATTTTACATTCTGTTTTATAAGATAAATATTTGAAATCTGTTGTGCATCATTGTACACTTAAACCACATCTCAATTCAGGCACTAAATTTTCATCCAACATACATGATCTCTATTCAGAGTTCATAAAATTTATAGTTGAAAAAGCAGATTCACATACTCAACATATGATTCACATACTTAAATGTTTTCAAGTAACTGCACTGAGTAGAAGTTTTAAAATTTAAACTTAATTAAAGTTAAAAAAAAGTCAGATCCTCAGTTGCACTAGCCACATTTCAAGGGCTCAATAGCCACATATGTCCAATGGCTGCTATATTGGGTGGCTCAGCTTTATACAGTTGATTTTCAAGACATATCCTTGGGACTTCACTTACAAGGATTGGGAACAGTTTTCTATTCCCTTAAAAATTCTGCCAGTAAGTGAATCAAACTATATAGTGACATTTACCTGCCCAAGTCATGGCCTCTATACCCCATGATTTATGACCAAAGTGAGTGGAATGTAAGCAAAGGCACGGGAGTGGGCATGTTAGCTTTCCATAGCCTGTCTGAGGAAGGGAATTCATCAGCATTTGGTGATCCCTCTCTGAATGTAGGGTTTTAGTTGTTCCAGTCAGCCAACCCAACCCCCTCAACCCTCCACCTCCAGCCAGATCAGCATGACAGGTCAACAGCTTTCCAGACACAAGCCTCTCTTAGGTCATCTCCGGGAAACCAAAGAATCACATGCTAACCCTTCAGGACAAAGGAGAATCAGGGCCCCAATGAAAGAGGTCAGCAGCCCCTCATTTTTTCCCCCTACAGGAGCAGAGCTTTGGACTGACTGAGGTCTTGCAGTCCAAGTGAAGGAGGAAATATTTGGAGGCCTATGGACAGTCCTTGTGCTCTCTTCTTCCGCTCCCTCTTGAGGACGTGTCACTCACTGTGTGCCAGGGGCCAGGGAGCTGCCATCTTCTCCCTCAAGTTCCGATACCACATGAGCCCTGAGATTGCACCACACTTACCCTGGGTCCTTCAGGGCCAGGCCAGCCGATGGGCCCAGGCATACCAGGAACACCCGGGGGGCCAGGTCTACCCTTCAAAGTCAAAGAACAAAAGTCAGGAAAATTGGATTTGTTTCCCTCCTTCCAGGAAACAAGATTTGTCTCTGGGGCCCGGAGGAGTGTGGGGCCTCTAAAGCACAGCCTCAGGACCCTCATCTCCAAAAACTGATAGCCAAAAAGTTGGATCACTTAGGTACAAGTGAAAGCCCATTGTGTGACACTGTGTCAACACACAAGATCTTATTCTACTAAAGAAATAAAAGGTGATAGAGAAGGGATTCTAAACTTCTTGGTTTTTCAATCTTTATCACCTCCACCCACCCACCCATCCACTGCATTCCAATAGGTACTCCCCAAGGGTGGGATGTAAATGGCATAGGATTATGTTTGGGAAGCAGTAGCAAATGCTGTTGGTTCTCCCTCCAGATCTTTTTCACCTGCTCAGTGTGCTCATCCCCCAGGGCCTACCTTCCTTGCTGTAACAACTCATTCCTGCAACCTGCAACTGTGGAGTTTCTGTGGGCAACCGGATCTGACCAGTGATTTATATATGTCCCCTCCCTGTAGCCAATAGCCTGGCTCCCTTACCTCAAGGCAAGACACTCTGTGGTGCAATTCTTACTCCACAGCTCCCCAGGGATCAGGCTGAAGCTGGACATCACCTGATGCCACTCCCACATTGGACTTCCTCCCCATCCCATCTGGATGCCCCTCTTCTCAGACTCCTCTTGAAAGAGCTCCCTTAATAACCGACTCACTTGCACATGGCACGTGCCATCTCTGTCACTGCTTCTAAGGAACTCAACCTAAGCCAGAGGCTATGGAAGAGTAAGCCCTGAAAGAGTGGGAGCAGGGACTTCGGGGTCTATCTTGACCTTTGAACCCACTGGCTAATTTCAGTTAGCCTAGCAAGAGATGTGGAAGGCTGAGCCCCTTAACCAGGGATCACAAATGCTGCATGTGGCCCAGCTGGTGTGGCTTAATGGTTAAGCATCGACCCATGAACCAGGAGGTCCCAGCTCCATTCTCAGTCAGGGCATATGTCTGAGTTTTGGGCTCCATCTCTAGTAGGGGAGTGCAGGAAGCAGCTAATTGATTCTTTCTCATCATTGATGTTTCTATCTCTCTCTCCTTCTCCTTTCCTCTCTCTGAAATCAATAAAAACAAACAAACCAAAAAAAAACACAACAAAAAACCCAAAGTACTGCATGTGTACAAATTCCTACTCTTGCCTCCCACATCCATGGCACACATCACTAATGAACCATGGCCTTCATTAGTTCTGAGCATGGAGACCATGCCAGATTCCTTTCTGGCCCAGCAGTTCGGACAACCACTGTGCCTTGGCTGGAGTTGTCATCCATGCCCTAAAGGGTTGTAAATTTACCTCCCAAAGGTCTGTTTGAGACTCTAATTGATAGTGTAAGTATTTGAATAAAACATTCAACCAAAAAATAGTAATTTATATTTAGAACCACAGGCATCTTTCTTGGCCAAAGTTTTGCACCTACTTCTATCATCAAGACCTACAATTTCAGCACCAGCATCCATTGACCTCAGGGAATGGCTGCTGGTTTTCTTCTTCCTGGCTGTAATGAGAGTCTTGATAACATGTGTTTGGTTCACTCAGAGTCCCTGTGACCTTAAGTAACTCCAATTTATTACTGCAAAAGCCTTTTGTTTCTGTCTGTTTGGCACTTTATTCTGGTTTAATCTAATAGACAGTGAGAGTCATTTTGTGCCACTGGTTGGGGCCTTGGAGGGTTTCTCTGATGGAAGGCAGGATGAGATGCTCTGAAGCTGTGGGAAATCTGGCTGGGCTTGGCAGCCTCTGGAAGAAGTCCAAATGCCTGGCAGTAGCTGGCTCCAGCTCTCAAGCGAAGGAGTGGGCAGAAACAGCAAAGGTGCTGTTGTCATCATCAGGATGGTGGTGCCACCACTGTCCAGTGGGCCGGAGGCCACAGTAGTGCACCGCTGGTTCCCCTCCCGAAGGAGTGCACACACATTCATGCACGCACGTGGAGCACAGTTGTCATGTAATGCTGACAACATAGACCATACCTTCCTTCCTGGTCGGCCAAGCTCCCCCTGTGGGTGGAAAAGGCAAGTAAGCGGAGGCTGCTTTGGAAGAGAAGTTCTGGAAGCAGAGGGCTTAGTAGGGCTGATGTCTGGGCATGCCCATGTGGCTGGTGGCTTGGCCACTCACAGCACCCCTGTTACGGCAGTGGGCCAAGCCAAAATACACTGGTGGTATCCCACACCTGCAGCAGCAGCCCCATCCTCATGGAGCCCATCCTCGTGCACTAAGGCAGAATTACCACATGCCTTGAAATCTCAGCCAGAAAATGTTTAGTAGCATCCCCAGAAAACAGGCTGGAAGAGAGTAGTGACTCATACCTTTTCTCCCTTTGGTCCTGTCTTGCCTGGATGCCCCGGTGGACCCTACACAACCAAGAAGCAAAGAAAGTATACGTCGGACCAAGTATACAAAAACACAGGCTGGAATTATCAAGGACAGGGGTGCGGGAGGCAGGACTGAGGGAACGCCTTTACAACACTCCTACAGCAGCCTCACTCTCTATGCAGACTCAGGGCCCCAGAAACCCCATGAAGGACCCTCTTATGCATGCCAGCCCAGTCTCCTCCTCTGTGATCCCCCTCTTCTAGCTTCTCTGAGCTGTGTTTCCAATGGTTTGAAGGCTGTAATGCTCATGTCTACTCTGTGTGAGTTTAATTTTCTCCCTGGAATTCTTGGGTTGCCTGAAATATCCGGAGTGTTTGGCAAGAGCAACTGAAGATACGTGAAGAAATGCTGTTTGCTGAGAACAAGAGGCTTCACTCCTCTTCTATCTTTTCAGTTGCTCTTACCAAGCTTCCCTGGGTCCTGACAAGAGGGAAGTTACACTTTGCACACAGAAGCAGAGATTTAAAAATTCCCATGGTGGATCTATGGGTACCAGGTGCAGCAAAAGACATTAAGAATGTGGGCAAGTATCTACCTCAAACAGATTGTCAAACTGCAGCGGGAAGGCCGGGGAGGGTTGGGGGGCAGGAGGGAGGGGGGTAAGAGATCAACCTAAGGACTTGTATGCATGCATATAAGCATAACCAATGGACATAAGACACTGGGAGATAGGGGAGGCTAGGGGACTGTCAAGGGCGGGGGGAAAAAAGGACACATATGTAATACCCTTTGTAATACTTTAAGCAATAAAAAAAAAAAAAAAGAATGTGGGCAAGTAAATACTGCATTTTGTGCAATTGCCCAGCCATGGGGTGGGGCTGACTCCAGCTCAGGGACTCTAGCACCTTTGCACTAAGGCTTGGCACACCCACGGCAGAATACAGCTGCTTTCTGCTCATGCGTCTATGGAATGATCAGCTGGTTAACTGTTTCCAAATTCCTCCATACAGCAGGGAGGAAATCCATCAACCACCGCTCCTCCCCTCCCCCCCAAGGCTACTACTTTATCCCCAAGATCTGCAGGTGAGCATGGCTAACACAAAGCCTGTTTGAAATATGATTTTATCAGACTTGTCTCTAAATGACAAACAGCCCCCTCAGCCAATGGTTCCCAAGCCTATCTGCACATTAGAATTCTCTGGGGATCTTTTAAAAATCCCAAAGACTAGGCCATGCCCCAGACCAATTACAATCTCAAGGAGAGTGGCACAGGCATCAGGAATTTTTGAAGTTCCCAGGGGATTCTAATGTGCAGACAAATTTGGAAACCACCACCTTTGGCTTATTCGCCTTCTGTTTTGGGGAGGGGAGGACAGAGAGTTTTTGTTCAAGTATTTCAATTTTTCCAAGCCTTGGTTTTTTCCATTTCTTAAAATGGGCTAGAACTATTTTACTAGGGTTGTGCTTTAGCTCCGACCTTCCCATGATTCACTGAGTGTCTCATTAAAATACAGATTCTGATTGAATGGTGGAGGGGAGTGTAGTGGAGAGGGAAGGATGAAATTCTGCATCTGAAACAAGCTCCCAGATGATGCCAAAGTTGCTGGTCCACAGATCTCATTTTGGTGGGGACAGCATCCACTCTGTTCTAAGAGAACGGAGGTGGTTGCATGGTCCCCTGGAGTTGGACAGCACAGCCCCCATGTGACTCAGATAGGATTGTGAGAAGTTAGAGATGAGCAAGTGACTGGGGAGCTGCTGGTCAGCAGAGAATTCCCCTTTTTTCCCCATGGTCTGTGGGTCTCCCTGTGCCCTGACAGCTGCCAGCATAGACTGTGGGAAGATAGAAACCCACCTGAGAGGTGCTTCTCAGGGTGCCCATCTTGCCTTTCTGCAGACTTCCCGGCCCCTCTGGCCAACTCCTATATTCCTTATTGCATTTAGCAAATATTTATGGAGAACCTACTATACCCCATGAGGTGGTATAGATGGGCACATATTATGAACAATACAATGTCCTCAAGACCAGGGGTCAGTTAACTTTCTCTATAAAGAGCCAGATAGTAAATATCTTAGGCTGTGCCTTTAACACAGCAACTCTGTCACAACTACTCAACTCCATCCTTGTAGCACAAAAGCAGCCAGAGACCATAAAACTTAAATTGCCAAAACAAGCCGGATTTGACCCATGGACAACAGTTTGCCAATCCTAGCCACACAGCTTATATTTCATGGAGAGGAAACCAAAGAGATTAGGAACAAAAAAATTAATAAGGAAGCTATAACAACATGAGAAAAATTGGCAGAGAATTAAAATAGGCCATTGGATGGAGATTGATGGGGAAGGCTTGGTGGTCGAGAAAGGCATTGCTAAGGAGGTGACAAAGAAGCTGGCCATGGTAAAAATCAGAAGGACGAACATTCCAAATGCTGGAGCCACCAGCGTAAAGTCCCCAAGACTGGAACAAGGTGCTTGAGGACCCGAGACACACTGTGGCTGCAAGTGGACAGAGTTGGTGACATGAGATGATGCAGGAGATACAGGCCGGGTCTCCGCATGTGGAGCTTTGCAACCAGGGTGAGGAGTGGGTCTCTCAGTCTTCCTGGACAGAAGCCATGGCAGGGTGACCCAGGAGGGCGAGATAACTCCTAAGGAAGGTACTTGGGAGACTGATTGCTCCTTGTTCCCTTGTTCCCTTCCCCATGGCAGGCCCAGAGTCCCAGGCTAGGGGACATTCCTCTTAGGGGAGCCCCCAACCAGGCAGCCAGGGAAGCCAGGAGTCTGTGACCAGATGTCTTTGCTTGCCTGGAAATCCTTTCTCTAGTATTTTTACCTGTTCCTCACTCTTCCCTTTAACTTTGCTGGGGAGGAGTAGGCTGCTTGGTAGCCATATCTGGGTCAAGGGGACTCAAGGTAACAGGTTCCTCTTTGCCTCCACTTTCCTGCATTGGATGCAGGTGCCTCTGGGCCCACTGAATGGGGTCAAGGCCACATAAGGGGCAACCCACTGTCATCAACTGTTTTGTGGTAGCTATAATAATAACCACATCCATCAAGGCAGCATCTCATTTGATCCCCCATCCTAAATCCAGTACTGCAGGGACAATTATTATCCTCATTGCATGAATGAGGAAACCAAAACTGGGAGGCCAGAATTCACCTAAAGAACCAGCATTCTATTCACATCGCTCTGGAGCTGGAGGTGAGCCAGAGAAGGAAAAACAGCCCCCATATCACAGTAAAACGTGCATCTCTACGAGGCTTCACTTCTCTGAACAGAAGACAGCAGGAGAGGAGAAGAGGTCTGGTGGAATGCACCAACCTGGGGGCCGGGAGGCCCAGGGGAGCCGAGTGATCCTTGGACACACGGGGACTGCGTGGTCTCCAGTTCCAGGATGAGATTCTTCATGTCTGGGGAGAGAAGCTTCAATGCAAAGCAATACAGGGTTATAGGTCAGACTTGCAGGACAGAAGACGGGTCACCACCCTTGACACAGACCTGCTTTGTAGACCAGTTCCCAGGACTGGCGCTTCTCTTACACCCCAATGGGTATCCTAAGATGACCTTCCTAGCCACCAGTGTCTGTTCTCTCACCTGCTCTTGAGACGCACCTGGCTTGAATGGATTACAAAGCCACAATGGTGGAGTTAGGAAGCTCATTTCAGGGGCCTCTTTCCAATGTCTGGGACAGCATTGTCCAAAGGAAATAAAATGTGAGCTACCAATGCAAACCACATATACAGTTTTAACTTTTCTTGGTAGCCACATTAAAAAAGTAAAGGAAACAAGTGAAATTAATTTTAATATATTTTATTTAACCCAGTCCACCCCAAATATCATTTTAACACATATTCAATATTTAAAATTACTAATGAAATATTTTACAATCTTCTTTCCATATGAAGTCTCACAATTCTGTGTGTATTTTATATGCACAGCTCAACTCAATAGCCATACGGCTAGTGGCAGTATTGGACAGTACAAGTCAAAGAGCTTCTGGAAAGATCTGAGACTCTCAAGTCCCCACCTGTTGCCTTCTAGGTCAGCTCCCCACATCCTGTTTTTTCTTTCACCTTTTCTGCTCTTTCCAAATTCTGTTCCCTCTCACACCTCAGTTTGGCTACAGGAGGGCCATTTCCCGCGTCACCTCACAGAAACAGTCTATGTCTAAGACAGGCCATGGAAGGGAATTCCATAGATACTTGGGTGGGAGCACAAACAGAAGGGGAAATTCCATATCTGAGCAGCTGATGGGAGCCTAGAAAGTCATCCATTCACCCAAGAGGGGACACTTGGCCAAATTCAGTTCCCTGCTGAGAAGAATCCCCTCCATAACTCAGCGAAGACAGAGGAAGAGTGGACATTACCAGAAACTGGAAAATATCCCTTCCCTGCTCAACCTGCTGCATGAGAGAAGATTCTGGAGGAAGCTGACTGAGGGATGGGGAAGTGGGGTAGTGTGGTTTCTGTTCCCTCACATGTCCTTAAGGTACTCACCGGACTTCGGCCTTCTCTGAAGAATGGTGGTGGGAACAGGGGGGGCGGAGGAGGTGTCAGCAGGCAGCATGTTTTGTGGCTGCCACGTTTCTTCTGATCCAGGCCAGGAAGGGCTGTTTAGAGAAAACTGCTGCTCATTAGCATGGGACAGGGCTAGGCCCCTGTCATGTCTATTGTGCCCAAGGAGACCCACACTGCCACCCCAGACTTCCCCATCTGATTCCCAACCTGTTAGATGTGAGTGCACCTCCTGTTTGCTATTGGACATAGGCCTCCCTTGGCCTTCGAGAGATGATATGTGTAAGATAAGCAAATGGCATGGACACTGACTATTATAAAGTCCATTTCTTCTTCTTCAGGAAGTGACTTGTCACTTTGCAGATGGGGCAAGGAATTCAAAGTTAAACAGACTCATATGTGCCCCCAATAGTTGGGGAGAAGGAAGTCATTGTGAACGACTTTGATATTGTGCTCGGAGGAAGTGTTCAGAGAGGGAGGCAGCTAGGGCTGGAGGTAGCATTGATTACAAAAGACCATGAGCCATGGGTTAAGATACATATTTGACTCCAGACTCTATGCACACATTCTGTGTCACCCATGCTCACTAGAGAGTTACAGTTAAATGTCTCAGTACATGGGTGCGAAGAGAAGAGAGGGCCCTGGACCCTCAGAGCTTCATTGTCTCATGGAATCTCTTGATGTACAGGTTACTGAGGAGAAGAAAACCAGGGCTGGTGTAGGAGCGAAAGAGGGGGAACAATCAAGGGTGCTTTTGATGTTACAGGGGACCCAGGGTAACAGTGGTCAGAGTATGAGATGGAAAAGTCGGAGGAAGCACTAGTTTGTAGGGAAATCTGCCAAATTTTGTGTTAAACAGTTGTTCATTTGAGCACATGGTTGGCCAGACACTGGGTTAGCCCTTAGGGGAGGGCAGAAAGATGCCTAAACGGTGCCCCTGACCTAAGATGGTAAAGCTTGTGGAGCTTGAGCAGCTGCCAAGACCCTTTTGCTCATATCGCACCTTCTCCTCTCACATCCTGGAGACTTACTGTGCATCAAGAATTGTCAGGAGCTGCCTCCACCAGGAAGCTTTCCTTGACTTCCCAGGCTAAGGCTGAGGGGTCCTGCTATGCTCTTTTTTGGGTTCACTCCTATATTAACCTTTATCTATGGGTGAATCTGTTTCCTTGTATCTCTCTAACCTATGCTTTCCCAGAGGAAAAGCCATTTTTATCCCCAAGGTCTAGAACAGTATCTAGCATACCCTAGATATTCCTCAAATGTTTGATAAACAAATTTTTTTAAAAAACCACTTATGACATGCCAGGCACCATTTAAATGCTTCACATATATAAAATTTCCTGACCCTCACGCAGCCCTGAGAGTTAAGTACTATTATTATTATCATCACCATCTCATCACCCCCATTTTACAGATCACTTAATTGAGGTAAAGAGGTGAAGTGATTGCCCAAGGTCATACAACTAGGAAGGGACAGAGCCAGGATTTGAACCCATCAGTCTGATTCCAGAATCCTTCCCCTAGATTTCTACACTACAACTCCAATGTGGGTGGAAATAAAGGTCTGGAGCTAAGAAGAAGGCAAAGGGCCCCCAGAGCAACTACCTGAGATTGACAGTACCAGTGCCCTTCATCCAAAGACCACCAGGAACACACCTGTACCTGAACACAGCTGTCTCTATTGACTCATTGCAAAGAGGGGGCACACACTCCAGGGGGAACAAGGGAGCATCCCAGTAACAGGGCATGAGAAAGGATTTACTCCAGGATTGGGGCTTTGGCAGGTGATTTGGGAGGAGACAATAAGGAAGAAAGTCAGGTCCTGCTCTGGATTGGATGCTGTCAGGAAGCAAGGGCTAGTCTATGACTATCTTAATTCTTAGCTAGAGGAGGAGAAGGGAGGCTGATGCTGGGGCTGGCCAGGCAGCAGTAGTCACTCATGTTAGCAAGCATAGAGGGACAGTGGGTCATTTTTGTGGCTGGTTGATAGTCTTATTTTGTCTGTGTCTGACACGGGGGAAAAGTGGCCTTGTTCTTTCTTGATCTGTTATAGGTGCAGAGTGACCTTGTCTGATGTTCTGTGAGATCATTTACGTTCGACAGGAGAGCGCGTGGCCTGGCTCTAGGTAGCAGGCCTGCTCCAGCTGTCCTGGGCTGCTTTTCTCTTTCTAGTGGTAAACTCATATAGCTATGTAATCATAAAACTTGACATTAATGCCAAGGTATTACTCTTCTAATTTCTTCCCTAAAGCCAGGAGTGGGCAGCTTCCCTTGCTCCACTCCATCTCAGGTGTGTGCAGGAGGATGATTGACACCCACCAGCACCCAAGAACCCTCTCAGGGTCCCCCAGCTGCAGTGCCTCCTCTGCCTCCCCTTGGCCTCAGCAGACAGCTAAGGGCTGAGGATGCACAAAGCCCCTCCCAGCAGCAAACACCTGGGGAGCTGGCAGGTTCATGTGGCTCATGTGCACTCCTGACCATTTCTTTTTGCAGACCATACGTGGCTGGCAATGTGTCCCTTCACCCCATGCCCTGTGTGGCCTTCCACTGATGAAAGACCCTGTATTGCTTAAAGCAATCACCTCTCATTTCTTCCTGGAAACCAGAGAACTCTTCAGTGAACATAAATTATTGGTTGCTTTTTCTGCAGAGGCATCTGCATGGTTCACCCCCGCCCCATCCCTTCCCCCCCTGACCTACTTCATTTTCAGCAGGTGAAGACCATCTATTTCTGCCCCCTCCCCCAAACTCCCTGGAGATGTTTGTTTTTAGCACAGTCTAGTTTATTTACAGCTCATTCCAACTCAGAATATTTCCATCAGGTGGACATGTTTGGGAACAGCTTGCCCCCACCCCCCGCCTCTTCCCAGACAACTAAGCCAGGACTTCACATGTCTATTTTGGTGTCATCTGAGTGGCCTGTGGCTCTCTCTCTCTGGACTATGCTGCCTCCATGGAATCGTGTCTGAACTCAGGGTCCAGGCTGGAAAAGCCCCAGCCGGCTCTGCTGTGATGGAAAAACCCTGAGTGTATGTACATGGGGAGCAGAAACCTGTCTGCACCATGTGGCTCAGCCCTGCCAGCTGCTTTGGAAATGCCCACAATGACAGAATTTCAGGACCACCTGCCCTGACTCAAAGGCACTGAAGTCATGTTGTGCATGTCCACTGCAGTGCCAAATCACGGGCAGAAACATGCCAAGTCCAGTGTGGGTGTGGGCAAATGATTGAGGTTGTTTTGCTGTGGCTGATGCTGGCTTTGCCCTTTGGACTCAATACCCTCTTGACTCTGAGCACATCCTTGGAAAGTGACTCACTCCAATTTACTCTTGGAAAGATAGGGACTTGGATCAAAGAGTGTGAGTCCGGATGCAAGTGACCCTGTGACATGGCACAACTCCCTTTTCAATCTGAGATTCGGTTTCCCCACCTGGGCCACAAGGAGCTTGGCCCAAACTATCATCCAAGTACTTTTTATGCATCTGACACCAGGATCAACACCGTGTCCATCTGGATCTCCCACTCACAAGTCCAGCCCATGACTAGGGTACTACAAACAGCCCTTTCTGTTTCTGCCTCCTTTTTTGTATCGAGAAGCACCCCCGCACCACACCCCAAATCAAGCAAATGTGTCATTAGAAGCCACCAAAGGAGAAAAATGACATAAACATCCTGTCTTTGCAGGTTGGGAAAATGAAAGATGCAGCCACATGTTAACTATTCTGCAACTGCTCATGCAGTTGGTGGACCGTTCACCTTCCTCCTCCTCCTCCACCACCAGCTTTTGGGCCTTTCCCTGACTTTCTGAGGAACCTGCGAAGAGGAGAGGAAAGGTGATGAGCGCAGCATCACTAAGTGTTTGGACCCTGACTGAGATGGCTCAGCTACAGTCAAGTTCTCATTTTTTCTGGCTGCAATTTGCCTGGTTTTCCCCAATTCACATAATCCAGAGAAGATGTTACCCTACAACTTTCCTTCAATCCCCACCCACACCACATACACCTTGAAACACAAATTCTGATCCTAAAAGTGGAAGGTATTTGAACCTCTCTGAAAGACCATATGAGAATTTGCCATCTTCCAATTTGTTCCTGAGCAGGTGTGGGGGGCAGATGAGAACACAACCCACAACAATTGGGCAGTTTGGTGGCTCTGGCCCCTGGGATAGTGAGGGGCATGACCCAGGCCAGTCAGGGGGAGCATGATGGAGAGCTTCCCGGCCCCCCAAACGAGGGCTGGCCCCAGACCACAGAACACAAGGTTACTCCAGAGCCAAGGCAAGGGCAGCTGCCAGCCTGCCTCTCTGAAGTCAAGGTCAAGAGAGGGGCGTGCGCGTGCACACGCGCACACACACACACACGAGCATGTATGCCGACCCCAACCTCCTCTCCACTGTCAAACCCCTTAGGTTACAATTCCAACGCAGGCTGAGAACTTTAAGATTTAAAGGCTGCTGCAGGCTCCCAAAACAAGTCTGCTTTCTGAGAGTCTTTTTTTCCAAAACAATGCATACACGCATGTAACTGCACATGCATGCCACACACACACACACGCACACACAACTCACCCAAGCAGCAAGCTGAGTAACAGAGCAGTCCTGAGATGGTGAGCAGATGAGTGAGGCTGAGTGATGGGCCTGTCATTGTGGGCAAGGCCAAAGGCGGACTGGCCAGAAAGCACATGCTGGCGACAGGCTGAGATCTGGCACGCCCCCGAGAGGTCCCAGTGCCTGGCTTGCCGGGCACTTGGGGTAGGAGCCGGCCAATCCCTGCTTTGGTGCTGCTCCTGGTCCAGATGCCAAGGGTCCAGAGGCCAGTCCTGAACTCCCGGGAGCAGGAATGGTAAGCAGTGTGCTGGCCTCTCAGGAGGCTGCACTAGGGGGCGGCTTGGGAGAGAAAGAGTGCTCTTGGACCAGGGGAGGAGGTGAGGTTGGGAGCCTGGGATACTGATTGCCACTGGGAGCAGAGATGAAACAGGGTGTAATTGATCACACAGGCTGCTTTTCATTCAGCTCAAACACTGCCGTGACAATACTGTGCTGGCAAGCTTCAAAATCCACACCCATTGCCACTGCCTGGGGAATCTGCCCTCCT